CCTATGTTCCACTAGGAACCCAAGGGAACAATAATATATATGAGTTGTGGGAAGCAACAACTGGGTCGTTAGTGCTAGGGTGACACGAAGGGGATCATATGAGGAAGAGATGAGAGAGTTTGGTCACTCGTGGACCCAGCGAAAGAGGATGACAGAAAACAGAACAAGGTGAAGATGTAAAAAATTATATTTGTAATATCTCAGCGAGATTGAAATGAGTAATTCCAACGTTTCGTTCGTCAATCTGGTCCGAACTTCTTCAGGGAAATTAACCAAAATAACATAACAGAGGTTTTATATATAAAAGGCACATCACTTCATTTTAAAAACTTTGTCCAATCGTGATTCATAAACACAAGTATTAACAAGTATAATAAACAAAATTGTATGAGCTGTGATCAAAATTTGACCTCGGACTTACAAATATTGGTCTACCTTTGTTGAACACTCTAAACAGAGTGTGCATGCGTGTGTGTGTGTATACATTTGTAAAACATTTCTTAACGTCTCCATAGGAAGATATAGACAGTCAGGAATTTGACCAAGTATTATTAATTAGTGATACATATCCATTTTTATTTATCAATCAGGATTTCCTATGCATCAGCTAACATCAAACCTTCATGTCCGTTCAAACTGCTAGTATCTAGAATTTTATGATTAGACGTATTTTCAAAATTATGGTGTTTAGGATTAGAGTTTAGTTTAAGCACCCTGTCGAACTTATTGCATTGTCTTCTTTCTGAAGACTGAGCTGCTTTATTCGACCTACTGGAGTTGTCAGGTGACTCGACAGCTACGGATTTAGGATGTGCATTTTGTTCCAGACAACGGAGACTGAAAACACGATGATTGTGCCAATTACATAGTTTCTTTGTTAATTTAATTCGATGGCAAAATAATTCAAATGAACTGTCGTCAAGATTTGACCGAATAGTTCTAAAATATTTGGGCGCCGAGTGAGAAGTAGACATTTGTAAAAAATTATATTTGTAATATTTTAGAGCTATTCGGTCAAATCTTGACGACAGTTCATTTGAAGGTGAAGATGTGTTGTTGTAGTTCTATATTCCATTCGGAAGGCAAGGGAATAATAATAATAATAATGATATAAAATATAAGGTAACGTAACGCTATCTCATCCCATTGAACACTTGAACAACAGATTACGATTACTGTTTAAAAGTTAACATTTATGCAGTCAGAATACAAAAAGATTGAGTAAACAAAATACGCTTTTCCATAGATTTCTCATCACGTTCTACAATTATTACATATGCATAAACAACCTAATTTCTCTTCCTCCTGTGTGTGTGGATCTACCAGTTTGACTGCTTCCGCGAAGTTAGTTATAATGGGCATACAATCAGGGATGTTCGTCACCAGTTATCCGAACGTCATCCTGCATGGTTAAAGTAGAGACAAGTAAGGTTCATTCATAGCTACGTTTTAGGTCAGCATGTAGATTACTTAGCATTAAACTGGTGTTAATAAGGCATTTAAAGTTATTTAATGTAAGCTGTCTGTCTGTTTTCGATATAGAAATTTGCACATATGTGCGGCAGTTCAAGTCACCACACTCCCACCATGTAGCACACAAAGCAAAAGAAGAAAGTAGGAGAAATGCATAATATAGATAGTAAACAAGGATATGAGACAAAGGAAAAGTAATAACGAAGAACAATATAGTTTCATTGGAAATCATAAGTCACAAGGAGTGGATGCATCTGCACCAGCCATTGAGAACGAGGATTTTGAGCCACATCACCAATTGCCTCCAGTTTACATTGGATTTTACCGTCCTGAGGACCCCAACCAGGAAGTCTACACTTTCCTACCTAGCTGGCTTAGACTAACTGTTGTAGATTTCACTGACTGGTGCCATGTTTTGGCTTGACCACCATGCGCTAACTCTTTACCAGCCTGACCCTATATCAGCCAACATTGCCCGTTGTCGAGGAAGGCGATGACTAGACATGTGTACGTAACACATGTCCTAACCATCTCAGTCGATGTAATTTCACAGTCTCTTCGACTGATTTCCCCTCCTTACCTAGCAATCGACTGAGGCCTAACCTCAATATTGCTCACCCTATTATACCACTTCACACGGGAGATAGAACGCAGACATCTATGACCAAAGACAGCTAATCTTTTCATGTAAGCTGACTAATCTTAATTCATTGTATCCCACCGAATCTTTCCAGTAAACTTCGTATTCGTCTACTGCACATAACTGAGGCGAAAGGCATTCGAACTATTAAACCTAAGCTATGCATTCAAAAGAAGGTCGTACAACTCTTATTGGCCTATTAAGACACAACCAACTGACGACTTCTCCACCACCGCTTACTTATATTTTCAACCCCTCTCTTATCATGCCTGAATCTTAATTTTCTCTCACAAGTTCGTCTTTGCAATATGGTTAAAGCCATTAAAATCCACCATGAGGAAGCCAAACTTATATGTTCAGAAGAAACTCGTACAGTCACCTTCCTTGCTTACATCGGCTATCATCGCTTGAATATGATAATCTCATAATTTCCACTTTTCTTTCAAGCCTTTTACAAGTTATTGTAGTTTTAATTGTCTTTAATTATTACATGCTTTTTATCAGTTACAAATGTTTCGCTGGCACAGTGGTTTACAGCTCACCGACCACGCATATGGTCTAAGGTTCGATCCCCAGCCACCAACGCACTTCTTTACCTCGCTACGCCAGTAATAAGCCTGGTAAAGAGGGAAGGTTGGGTGGCATGAGGCTAGCAACCGAATCCCGTAAAAATAAACAAACACCACTGCTACCGAAACTTCAAGCCTCTAGCTTGAAGTCCTATGTTCCACTGGGAACGTAAAGGAATAAAAAGAAACCCCACTAACATATGCCTTTGAACTGTAGTTCTGTTCATTCAGTCAACTAGATATTATTTAAACAAAAGCATTTATGTCGTCAACACCAGTTATTCTTTAAATATATTGTGTGTATACAACTGTAAACGAAGAAGTTATTGAAAAGAATATTCTTTGCTCAATCTTCTCTTTTTGGTCTTCTAAATGTTTAAATGGTGGATTTTTGCTATACTTTAAACATTCTCTTGATGATGTGACCATATGGAACGAGGATTTTGATCGTGGCTGGATTCAAACTAACGACTTCCAGATTATTAGTTTTGGTTTGAGTTGTAAGCTACGACATCCAGCCGTTAACCGGACCCCATTTGATTACCATGGGGAGGAATAGTGCTCAGATATCACGTGAATGAACTGTCTGTTTACTAAAATACTTTCTGCTCAATATTGTTAAATGCTCAACTTCTTGTCATTGTTAGATGGTTGGAATCAGTCGGCAGGAAGCTTTGGACCTAGACTTTTTCATTGTTGGCACTCAACAGTCAGCGAGGCGTATGTACAACCTTGAGGGAACTTATGTCCCGTCTGGGATCCAAACTCTGGTCACCTAGCGCTACAGTCAGAGAACTTACCACTTCCTGTAGGGCTGTGATGCATAATTCGATTCGAAACTAGTGTCATGTGTCTATTCCATCGTTTATTGCAATTCAGAGTGAACTGTGACAGTGATCATCATGACTACGAGCGTTTTTCCTGACTTTTCTCGACACTACTAAATCAGCAAAAAAGAATCAACTTAAAAGTCACGACTTCCTACGATTACATTAAAATGTCTAACATAGGTATACTGATTCGGTCGGTCTTCGACATCGATGTGTGGCAGTTTAAGTCGCCACATTCCATGTAGCACACAAAGCAAGAGAAGAAAGTAGGAGAAATGCATATTAGAGACAGTAAACAGAGGTGTGAGACAAAGGTATAGTAATAACGTAGAACAAAACAGTTGCATTGGAAATCATAAGTCACAAGGAGTGGATGCATCTGTGCTAGCCATCCATTGAGAACGAAGAGTTTGAGCCATGTCACCAATTGCTTCTAACCGTTGGTTTTTACCGTCCCAAGGACCACAACCAGAAAGTCTACACCTTCTTACGTGGCTTAGACTAACTGTTGTAGATTTCATTGACTGGTGCCATGTTTTCGTTTGACCGCCACTAGCTCTTTTCCAGCCTGACCCTGTGTCAGCTAACATTGCCCATTGTCGAGGAAGGCGATGACTAGGCATACGTAACACATGTCCTAACCATCTTAGTCGATGTAATTTCACAGACTGATTTCCTCTCCTTACCTAGCACTGGACGCCTAACCTCAATATTGCTCACCCTATTATACCACTTCACGCGAGAGATAGAACGCAGACACCTATGATCGAAGACAGCTAATCTTTTCATGTCTTCCACTCTCAATGGTCAGGTCTCACAGCCATAAAGGAGGACGGAGCGGACTGGTGAGCAGTACACACGCCCTTTGGTCGATAGCCAGCCGGATATCACGTCTACGCCAGAAACGGCGTAAACTGGCATATGCGAAACTAGCCCTCTGTATTCCTACTGAGATTTCGTCAGAGATCAACCCGTCGGCGTTGGCTGATGGTACTTCCGAAATAAGTGAAGCTGTCAACGTGCTCTACCACTTCACTTCCTATTTCTAATCTAGGGGTCGGTGAAGTCCAAATCTGCAAATTCAAATTATGCAGGCTGTTTTACTAGTCTAAGTAAACTGATTGTCAACTAACGAGGTTCGTGTCTGAACCTCGACCCACCTATAAATTTGTTATTATCTATCCTTAGACAAAATGCATTCAGATACGGGGCTGAATCACTATAAATAATTATGTCCCAATGAGTCATCAATCCAGTTTTGAGGTCTTAGTAGGGGTATTTTTCCTAACGCAATGGGGTTGCGCTAGTCTCATCCCCAACTTTCCCTCTATTCCTGGCTTACCATTGTTAGCTAGTTAAACTAGACGATTTAAGAGTATACATTGGCAGGGAATGGAACTCAGGACATCTCACGGGTCGTGTGATCGTTCTACCACTGACACACGTTAGCCTACTTAACTTCATATATATATGGTGAAAATAAGACACTTTACAAAGCAAGATATTTATTTCTTCTTAAAAAAAGGAGTTGAATCAATCATTAACAACAATAACAACGATAATATTGAATGATACAATTGTCACGCAAAAAAAATATATATTCACCAGTGTTCAAAATAATTATACAAAAAGTTCAACAAGATGGAGGCAATATCAGACAAGTTATGTCTGTTATGTGTGTGTGCATATCTCACTCTCACAACAACAAAAAAATATAATAATAATAAGCGGCACTTATAATCGTTTGTATTTTCGAATAGCGGTAACATCACCAACGGTAACTGTCTACAAAAGGAAAACAAATGAAGAAGGAAGGAAGAATTCATCAATTAGAAATTATCATCAACTTACCGTGTTCATAATGTCACCTTCTACTTCACGTATAATTGTGGTTGTATTCTTAGGATCCACTTGAACTTGAGTTAGCTTTGACTCAGAGTCTTTGGTAACAGTTGACTGAAAAGACAAAAAAAGAGAGAATTTTTATTAATTGTCATGCAAAGCAAGGATTGAAGATGGAGTTACACTATTTATATAAGGGATTCAGAGCAGTTGGGTGTTCGTTAACTCTAAACAAACATCCAACATTGATAAGGTTAGCCATAATGAGTCTAATTAACACTAGGAAAGGTGATTTGGCTGCTCTGTAAACCTAATCTTCAATGTGATTTCTGTTTGACCTTAAAGGTAACGAACTGACCGTCGATAGTGAACTATTCTTTATCTGTAATGACATTCGTGAAAGACCATAATGCTTGTGGGTTGGTACTGAGAGTAAATAGTCTTACGCAAACATCATAGCCTGTGGACTCAAGAATCGCAGTTATCAAGCTTAGTGTAAAGATCAATATTCTAAGTTCGTGCAGATAGTGAAAGAAGAACGACTCTAAAGAAGTCCACTTGCTTGAATTCACCGAAGGGATTATAACTAGCTAAATTCAGGTAAAAAATGGTGTAAGAAAGGGATGTCCATTTTGCAAGTGATATTACTCGGAGTATATTCACTTACTTTGACATTTCTACCATCACTGGTTTTCTCGTCAAATTCTTCACCAAATTTGAAAGTACAGGTAGTATTTTTAAATGTTGACTCAGTTAACATCGTCATTTTATCCCCATCCATACTAAAGGTCATAGTCGGTGTTAAAGTATTCCCAATCTGTCGTGTAGCCCAGGATACACCTATCATGAAAAGAATTGAATAGTTAAAACACAACAATTAGTAAGCATTTCTACAAAAAAAATCTCACAAGAATTATAAGGAATAACTGTTGAGTTTTAAACGCTATTTACTGTCAATAAATTCTGGTGCTGTACATGTGACGTTTCAACTGAATTTAATCACAACAAATGTCAACTTTAAATACTGCTTCTATTGCATAGATTGATAAAAAATAATGAAAATCTTGCAATCTACAGTCTTCACAACGAAGACATGATTCGAACAGTTGACTCGGTACATACACTATGTTTCTTAGAAAAAAACAGATTTCGAACCTTTCGAGATGGTATATAATTAGCTTTGAAGAACACGTGGCACTGAAAATCACGAACGATTATCAACTGTGTATACTGTGAGATCGCTATTAACAGAACGTTCCGAAAAGGGTTGAATATTAAAATACGCAGGAGTAGCTGGAAGGTGCATTACTTACCTAGTTTTGACATCACAGCATCAAAGTTGTGAGATTCGCTGAGTTTCCATTTTCCCAAAAAGGCGGACATTGTTTATGAATTTTCCAAATAATAAGAATTGACTAGTTCGAGTAGGTTAACCCTGAGGAGGAATGGGATCTGGAATGAATTAAAAAACATGACATTATATTCCAATCAATAACCACATATACAGATATCAGACCGATTCCTGAAGTTCCACCACAAAATTAAATATAATTCATGATAACCCCTAATACTTTGAAACCTAAACCCTAGCAAGTCTAGGAAAATATTCTATAGAGTTTTTGAACAGCATTGTTTCATAAGCATAATGACGAGAGGTCCTATACGAAATATTTTGTCATAATATGTATTGACAAATGCAAACTCCAGTAATCAAATATCCAACTATATATTGCACATATCGAAGAATAAGTATGAAATGACTTCAGAATGCGGACCAGTCAAGTAATTTAATATGAAATGTGTTATGTAATACACATATTCAACAACTATACGGAGGGATTATTACATATATTAAATAAAACTAAGAGTAATCGGGGAAAGTACATAGACAATAACCATCAGCAGCGAAAACCTAAAGACCACAGCGGCAACGCACCTCCAGGCGACACTTCAGGAAACTGGCTGGTTTCAACGCAAATGGTTATTATATGATCGTGGGTTTTAACCTTCAAACTTATTTACTTAAACAAGTGTGCACCTAAAGTGAAGGGAAATCTCTTTTAATCCTTGAGTACAGTCGTACTGTGGCTGTTTGAGACAGAAACTGAATAAATAATATATTTTAAACATACGGGTGGCAATCTTGGTCATTTGAATGGTCTTACGCAAAAAGTTGCTATGATGTTAGTAGTAGTCATGAATCAGCAGAGTAGAACTAGTGAGAGATTTGTGTTTATGGAAACCCCAGATCCATTCTCATAGGTATGAGGGATAATCTTTGCGTCGTGTGGATGTTAATGTCATAACATTTGAAAAAATGTTAGTGGGAAAATATTTCTCCACAGAACCATGGAATAAAAGTTCACATTCTTCATTTAGCTGTTGTGCTATAACTGAAGCCAATAACCTGTATTAGGCTACATGAACGAAGTGTTTTGAATTTTTGTTCTCCCTTAGAATGGGGATAGTACCATCACTGGAATCAATGGTCATTTTCCAATTAGACTGTCGTTATCAAGTGATACCAAAAAGGTGTACATCATCTTACATGAGGCTGCTTCAAGGCGATTGGTAGTCTAAAAATCAGTAATGTGTTGTGAATATAATAATTATGTATACCAATGTGAGGGTAAGACCAAAAATTTCCGATTTGCGATAACTAAGTTCTGGTAATAAAATAAATTGGTGGCAGTACTAATCGTAGCAGGAGGTGGTAATCGCGAGTAACAACATGTTTGTTATTGCCTTGTGCAGTCGAGCCTGTCTCCCTGATAAACGAGTCCATTTCATGTGTCACTATGAGGCCATGTAACCTTGAAGATTTTGCAAAACGGCTGTTGATATGAGGATTAATGGGCTAGTCCATATCCTACATCTCCTGAATAACGCTTTCCGAATCTCATCCTTTACAATGCCAGACTCCGATGAATGTTTTATTTCGCTTACTACAAAGGTGTAACTGTTGTGGGAATATACATATAAGTACATATAATAATAATAATGTATTTCATATAAATTTACAAATTTACATGAAAATGCATGCCATTTTTACAGGCACGATCAAGTATGATATAATATCAAATCGTAGATTGTCTACAAGTTAATCGTATTTCAACTGTTAAATATTCGATACATATAATACACTCATTTTCTGAATTAGGCCGTATAGTTATTGAATTGTACAGTTGTCCTCCAGGTTGAGCGGGAAAATCGACTTCGTTCCGTTTTCATCCCGTGGTTGTAGGCATACGATAACCAACCAATATTGAGGTAAGTACACCTTTTACAAGGGATTGGAATCTGTTCTAGAAAAATTAAAGTGCTGAGGTGAATCATTAAATTGTAATGAAATAGGTAAGTGCAAGTATCATTAATAAATGCATTAATAAAGGAAACGCCCTAGGGTAACAACATTCATTTGCAATGTATAATGCTACAGATATATCACAAACTATCATGATATCCACTTTTGGTTTTAATACAATTATCCTCATGCCAGTTGTTTTTATTTTATACCTTTTTGTGCATTTAGTGCACAACCGTACCCTTCAGAGAGTAGGAGTATAATAAGTAATGAAGAGCTATAAGATGTTAAGTTTAATGGAGTAAAATGAGGATCAAGTAAAGACGTTGTCAGAAAATAAATGAGATAAGACATTGTGGAGTGGTATGAAAAGATCTGACGATAGACAGCAAGTTAATTTATAAGATGCCCCATATAATGCAGCTGGCAGTTAACATAGGTTATCCAGCGTGCTGTGTGTGTGGTACTGAAGAAGTGAGATTAAATTACTAAAAAACTGATCATGAATGGAGAAGATCACATGTAAAGACATGCTGGAGCTACAAAGTGTTTGGCCTGGCTTAGGATGCATATAACACCATCAAAGTAATTAGGAGTGAATAATAAACTTATGCGTACGAAAAACGTATTTAGGCAGGTGAGATAATGACAAACCATAGAAGTATGTAATAATGGTACAATTATAACACTACTTCTTTACCTTCAGGGACCGCAAATTGTCAGCAATTATTTTCTTATAACGCTGGCTGTCGAGATAGATAAAGCGAAGTAGGAGGTTAAATTATTCTAAATCTCAAACTCATGAATCCCTTGATGTCCTACAAGTTAATGTTTGAAGAATACCTAAGTGATTTCTCTATAAACCATACATAAAATTTGTTTGTATTGATATACCTATCGCCATCAATGAAAGAAATTTGAAGAAAGTCAGCTTCACTTATTCCATAGATATCGTTTCGGTTAAAATCAGCCCGAGTGAAGATAACAAAAACGACATGGATTCTGGAGGCATTGCAATAAGACGCTATTCTCTCCGAAATCACTGTGGAAATCCACAGCACTTAGCATATAGAACAAGATCCGAATTGTTTTAAGCCCTTATGTCAAGTGAGTGACTCATATAGAGCGCCCTTCACTGTAAGTATTTTAGACATTTTACTTCAGACGTTCGTCAGCAGTTACCTCCACTCGAAACTGAAGAGCAGATGGCCGTCCAGAAAGTTTAGGTAGCAAGGAACTGTGGCTGACAGCTGGTCAACCAAGAGCGTACTGCTTAACATCTCTGAAGAAAGAAGTACAGATTGATTGGATATACCGTTGAGTGATACCCCGCAAGTAATTAGAGACGTTCTCCGGTTCAATTAAATCACAGACATTTCGCTTTTGACGGCTGATTTGTTTGACTGTGAGAAGTGGATCACACTAAAGACAACTTGGTTTTGAAGAGCAATGGGCACTGCTGGTGAGTGGTGATGTGACTGTTTATCTCAATACTATCTTCATTCCATACTTAGTAAATTTGTTAAAACCATCGCGAAAACTATATCCTCCCATAACTACTCGTGGTAGCGTTGAGAGCAGCCTGGTCAGCATATTAAGTGAACCAGGCTGAAGAATCAGTAGATGTTTTGACCAATGTTAGGGTCTGTCAGGACAGCTGGCCATGCAGCATTCGTGAGCACCATTCCTGGCTGAAGCCAACCGGACTCTAGCTCTAAGTCCTTCAACCAGCCCAAATAACTGAATTTTCAGAGTGATACGCCATGAGGTCTATATAAATCTACTTTTATTGAGATGTCTGTAAACCTTTGATCCAAGCCGTTGGTAACTCGCATTCCGTGATGTGTCCCAGATTCGATCCGTGCAACTAATCCGTCATTAATAAATGGTTTCAAATGCATCCACCTTATATGTTTCTGTCCGCGGCTTTGCACGAAGCTATGACCGGAGTTTTCATCCTTACAGTTATTTTATGAACCGTTGCTTTTACTGAAAATAATCGCATTCCAGTAGCTTTTTCAATGTATTCCTGCAAAGGAGTCGGAGTGCTTCCGTTTGTGCTATCGTAGTTATGCTGTCAAAACATTGAAGCGCTTCCAGTCGGCTCAAATTAGAAACAATATTGCACTTGGTTAAGAGACCGCATATTTTGCATCTGTTTACACCTTAGCCATACGCAGTCCTTATTCCATGTTGTGATGAATACTTGATTCATTGCCAGAAGCTGGTATTGGTCTTGTTTATGTGGCGCTGTGAAGAGTCTAAGTGAAGTACAGAATATTGGGCAACAAATGTTTGTTCGGAACGTTTTATTTATTTGGGCCTTTATAATCAACAATAATGAGCCAGTAAGTTTGATTATTTGGGCACAGCGTACGGCCATGAGGCGTACTGACTATGCAAGAGCCGAACAATCTCCAAGTGAGGCATGCAGTTGAGTTCCACTTCCGACATTTCCAGTTTGTCACAGACTAGCCCCCCATGGGTATGGTAAAACTTTTGCGCCCTGTGTCCTCATAGGACGTATACCATTTAAACCCTTATTGGAGGATTGATGGTTGGTAACCGTTGGATATGGCAATGCCTCTGCCGTTAGTCGGAACTTCCTGAATAATACTGGTGGCTATCGAACTAGATTAAGTGAGTAATCGTTAGCTTGCCTTGACATTTATTTACCTTTCAAAAGAGTCTATACCGAAAATTACTAGGTGATTAGCAATAGTGTAGCGTCTTGGAAGTTGACGTTTACACCTGAAGTCAAGTATCAGTGTTTACTGCGTTTACTGGTGGCTTATACTCTGACAGGGTTTTTTAAAACGTCTTTTTTGTAAGGAATGATAAGTTTTTTCCATTGTTGAAACCATGCTTGTCTAATTTCAGGCTGGCTTCGTGGCGTGCAGGGATCGTTAGACTAAGGCGATGCAACTGATGGCCAATAGGAATGTCCTTTCCATCTCACCTAATTGTATTTTGATTGGCTGTAAATATAATCCTTGACCTTGAGTCTTCGTTCTTACTAGCAAGCGGCACTTGTGTGATCACTCTGCTAACGAGCCCTTTGCTTCCTGTTTCAGATCATTGCTTGACGATTGTGATTACATTTTGGGCACACTGTAGGGAGGTCTACAATTATTTTAGTCGTTGCATGTTTGTGATTATTAATACCGTATTGCTGTGTGATATTTAATACAAGCTTATCTAGTATGGAATTGCATTCTATCAATGCTCAAGTTCAACACTTACTTTACTTTGTTGAAAATTGCACATCTGAGTGGCAGAAGCTGACATTGTAGAGCAGGAATTAGACTGCATATCCGCTCCTAGTGTCAAGAGCTTATAAAGAAGATATAGACTGGTGGCTCAACACCTCGTTATTGAGCATTGAGCGGGCAATTCGTTTTCACGTGTTTGTTCAAGGTCAGTAATCTGTCGGGCCCACTGGGTTTATAAGTTTTGGTAGCTAAAATTAATCCTTAAGGAAGATTGAATGTGTTAGTATGAAACCTACAGTTTTTTAAATTCCGTTTTTCAGCAACTCAAGTTGTCTCATTCGTCACTCAACTTATATATTTCCCGTTTTCCCAAGCTTAATATAATGCTGAATTAAATCTCACTAACTCTGAAATAATTCTTACATTCTTTAGTGAGTAGATTCTGAATCTATTCTGAAATGGTTTCTTTAATGGCACAGAATAGAACACCACGACTGCCACTAATTTAGCACCGTGTTCTTTTCTAGGCATTT